TTGTTCAAGTATTGTAAAAAAATTTTTTTATGTGTTTCACACCGTGTGTAAAATCAATTGTGTAACATCAACGTTCCCTCCTGTTACCTAGCCCACAACATAAAAACGACTTGTTAATCACTCAACCCATTTTTTTCCAGTTGGCATGATAAAAAAAAAGATGGTTCATAATCCACTTAAGGTTTTTAAGAATGCATTTTCGTCAGAGAGACTTCGTTTACCGAACAAGCCGTTAAACGAGACCAGGTAGGCATCGTAATAGTTTGTTTTGAGACGCGAGCAGTGTTGACACGTATGAATTGTAGTCTTCCATATCCGCTTGCCTCAGACGTATCCGTGGAAGATTATAACTTTTTCATCGAAAGTGGAGAGATAAGTGGATACAAATTCGAATATAACAACGGCACTGTATATATAGTCGATATGTGCTCAAATGAACATGAAGCTATTAATGAGGTGCTGCGGGACTCTTTCCGTGCTCACTGCCCTACTACTACTTATGCTATTTATAATGCCCCAATACAAATTCGTGGTCAGCCGCGTAAGGGAATTTTTCCAATTTGTTTGATTTTTCACTTGTTATTTTTTTAAATATTTCTTACGTCCTTTTCACAGTTCATGAATCACCAGCTGGTGACAGAACTCGCATTGCACCGGATCTTGCTGTCTTTCCACATCCAAATTATGTTCCAGATCCTCCAGTTCCGCACCCTGGTCCGCCACCCAGTGATACAAGAGTACTTTTAATTTGTTATATGCATTTTTTTGATACTGATATGGCTGATAGGAAATTTTTGTGATACTAATACTAATGTGATTGATATAGGGAAACCCTTATGCAAGAATAATTTGTGAAATAGCCGTGGCCCAAACTTCCTCCAGCTTGAATGTTAAATGCAGACTTTGGAAGCTGAATTCGTACGTACGATCTGTGCTTGGCATTAAACTTTACAATATAATGAACACACGCAATAACCCACAAAGAAAAAGAGATCGTGCAATGAAGGTATATTTCATTGTTTCATTATTATATAAATTTATATTTATATATTTTAAATTTAAATATTAGGCTACGCTTTGGCGGCAAGGTGTTCCAAAACAGAAGGTAAGGTGGACTGTTGAGGAAGAAAATTCTACTTCCTACTTTTTGATGCGCAAAGTCCATTCTTATATGATAGTGGAAATTTGGCACTGTAAACAAAGACGGTTCCCCTACTGGCCCTACTGGTTGTCATGGCCCGAACGACCCCAACTATGTAATTACAATCCCTGTTAGCAACGTATTTTACGATCCAGCGATTCCTGAAATCGGATATACTCCATTACCTCCTCCTGCAACATTGATGACTGCTGTTTTTGAAATCGACTTATACGAAGTTCAGCAAATGGTTTTACTTAGTCAGGCAAAATAAAAATCAAAAGATCCATGTTTTGTTAGCGGATTTATATGATCAGAAAATGAAAATTCAAAATTTTTAGATTTTCTTGTTTTCCATGATTAATGAAATGCAGAAAATTGCAGCTTTAAGCAGAAGGGTTGTAAATTGCAAGTTACCATCAGTAAATTGCCAGGCAAATTACCATAGGTTACCTAAAGTTCTAGGTAAGCTACCAAATTACTTTGGAGTTAATATTAATTTTGACTAGTATTAAGCCAAAAAGTATTATGAGAAGGTAGATAGTTAGCAAACTGGATGGTGAGGTTTTAGGAAACTATGGTAATTTACCCGGTAAGTAACCGATGGGTTTGGTAACTTATGGTAATTTTACAACTCTGTATGTAATACACATGAATTTTGTTGTTAAATCAAAGTATGCAGTTTATTTACCTATTAAAATAATTTTATATTATTATTTACTATCTTGAGGATTTATGATTCGGTATAAGAGCTATACGTACGTATTCATAGTTAATTTATATATCTGATATCAGATATTAAGTTAACCAAAACTATATTATTTTGCTATACTTTATAAAAAAATTTATTATTTAATACTGTAAGAATTTTTGATTCTTTAAAACCGATTTCATCAAATAAGAAAATTAATATCAATCTCTCAAATCTTTAAAACATCTCAAGTATACAGTATCTAGATTTATTAATGTAAAGTAGAACATATATAATTAATTAAGAATGTCATTTATATCGAATATTTGTCTTCTAGCAAATATAAGAGCCGTATAAGAAAGGGGTTAATGAATACCTTACACCAGATTCATTATACTATTGGTTTTAATCGGGATGATAAAATTGTTATCGATTTGATTTTTAATTAAAGATATGCAGATCATTGGACATGTCCGCTAATCGTTTTTTTTCGGTATTAAGGTGACCTTCTTTGGTCATTAAGCTTTATTAATATTTCAGAACAAAGGTGTTCTCTTAGAAACAACGAGTACAACTGGTTACATGCGTAACTTTTTTATATTATTTATTTAATGAGTTTGTTTGAAGGTTTTTCATCAATTGTTATATCTAACATCTCTGCTTGAGTGATTTATTTTAACCTTCTGATTGTTATACTCTGTAATTATATTAATTCATATTACTGATCTTAGGATTATTTTATCTTCAAAGGTAAAATTTATTAGAATTTTTTGTAATTTATTTATAGTTGATATAGTTTCTAATTTTTATAAAGTTTATATGATTTCAGTATTTTTTTTATAACCTTATTAGTATTTTATTTATTTTTACAAGTTATTTTATATTACAGTCAGACCCCCTAAATGCACTCTCTCTAAACGTACCACCTCTCTAAATGCACAATATAAGTCTGGGTCCATGACGGGACTTATAGATAAATGCACGTTCTTTATTCTGTAAGTGCACGCTATTGTCTGGCCCACTTATAAAAACTCCCTTCATAAATGCATTCACGTGATTATCAGCCAATCAAACACATTATTTATAGCCTATTAAATTCGTAATAATAGTCACATTGTGATTTTATTAGTGTTCTCTAATTGCAACCCTCTCTAAATGCACGCTCTAGAGCTGATCCCGACGACGTGCATTTAGGAAGGTCTGACTGTATTAATATAGTTAGTTTTGTATAATGTGATTTTATATTAATATATAGTTTTGTATGCTTTGATTTTATATTTAGATTAATTGGTAATCAAATTGGTAATATTTTTTATTAAAGGTTCTTATTTATATAAGTTATTTGTTTTAAGTTTTTTACAATCAAGATTTTTATAAATAATATTATTAAAAGTTGTATTATTTTTTTACTTATAATTTTCAAATAAATTTTTTATTTTATTTTATTTTTTTTTTTAAATATTAAGGTGAGTACTTGTGATCCAGGATTTTATTGATAATATATTTGGCTAATGGTTGCATTATGACCACAGGGGCAACTATAGGAAGAGTGTACAACTAGTCACTCATACAATTTTAGTCATTGTCTGATTTAAGTAATCTGCCTAAAGGTTCTACACTAGCTGTCATATCTGAAACCTGCTTGTAGGTTTCCTATTTAACTACTCTGTTTTTATATCCATCCACCTACCTCTGCTTACTAATGACTCTAGCTAATGCCAGTAAAAATATGTCATGGTCATTAAGTCTTTAAATCAGTTCATTTACATAGGAAATCTTTGACCTTGTATTAAACCTTCTAGAATCTTCTGTATCCTATTCTTACAGCTAACTCAGTATCATTATGATTGAGACCAACACTAATAGTTAGGGCATACTATTAAACTGCTATGCTCTTATAGAGTTTACCTCAACTTCAGTCCTGACTTTACAACATATTCTTACTACTTTGGTATTCAATTCAAGTTCTACCAAGCTGTTATTCCAGATAGTCCAGAAAGATAAATTGAAACTATACATCTCTGGTTTACATGTTTGTTGGCATGTATCCTTTTTTTCCAGAATCTAAAAATTCTGGTGACCTGGTTGGTTCATCTGATTTCTCCTTGAAGACTGGCACATTTGCTCAGTTTTACAAGTTCTAGCTCTATTTCATAAGTCTAGTCTTTATAGTAACATTATCAAAGGTTCAGGTTACCTTTCTATTTGGGTCTTCCAAGTAGGCTTCTATTTTCCTATTAGGTTCCTGTAATTTACATGGCCTAAGGACTTATCTTAGGTTCATATTACTCAGTACCGGTTTGTGTTCCTTCATACAACATTGTACAAGTGCCTAGACCTTCCAGTTATACTGGTATAATACAGGTTACAGATATCTTATTCTAACTAATCACGAAAGACAGTTAGTCATAATACAGAAAGAATTACATATTTTTGCTATCACTGAGATTTGAACTCTAGACCTGTCACTTGGGGGTTGACAACTTATCCACTTTACTAGGTTACTACATCTTTAAATTTTTTATTTAAAAATATATATTTTTTAAATTATATATATAATATTGCATATTATTAAAGTTAGTTTTAAAATAATTAGAATTGCAAAGTAGTAATTTTTAAATTACAGATAAGTCATTAAAATAATTTTTTTTTTTAAATTTTAAAATTAATAAGTTTTGAATTCTAGATTTATTATTTAAAAAATGATAATTTAACTATTATGCTAGAATTGTTATATTTTTTGTTAATTATTAAAATAATTTAAAAATAAGTAAAAGTTTAAAAAATTAATTTTTTTTTTAATTTTGACAACGTCAGCTGGTTTATTAAATTTTAAATTTATTATAGTACAATTTATAATTATATTTATAGGATTAATTATTACTAATACTATATTAGCTATTATAATTTATTTTACTAACTTCATCTATCTAAGTTTGTATCTGCTGTATGCAATTATTATAATAACTATTTGTAATTAGGTCTTTTTTTTTTTAACTATCTCTGATGACAAACATTGTAGGCATATGTGGTGTTTTTTTTTAATTAAATGCTACTTATAGCAATATTTTTTTTTTTACTTGAACAGTCTTATTAGTTTATCTTTATTATAATTTTTTACATATATATATACAAAATTTTGTATAATTTTTTGGCCCAATATCTTGTAAATACTTCTATAAATCTTACAAGTAATCTGTCTGTACTAACTGTTTAACTTCATAAAAAATTAGAGTATATCAGAAGTCATATCTGACTGCTACCCTACAATGAGATGTTGCCAATCTAATAATATCTTCTTGTAGAGAAGTAAACAAAAACAAAAAAAACTTATATATAAAAAAACACAAAAGTATAAAGAAAGATGATAAAAAATACAATACAAGAAATAAAAAGAAGAAGAAAAAAAGTAAAAAAAGAAAAAATATATGCAACTTTCACTATATGACTATTAAATAGTTACAATTATAAGCTTGTATCAGGTTTTTAAAAATTATAAACTATACTAAATAGAATTAACTTTATTATTTTTCTATTTACTTAGAATATTTAATAAAAACCATATAGGATAAAACTTTGACTTAAATATAAAGAGTCAGCATGGGTCACTAGTTAGTCCAGAAGTAGTATTTTACAAAGTTCTAGTAATTTAAGACACATGTATAAGTTGTATTTGTATTGCTATATTGTTTATACAATGCTAATTAGAAAATAAATACTGCTAACTGTTTTGATATTTTATATATTAATTTTTTGAAGAGAATAAACTGAATTATTTATTTTTTACAAAATTTTTCTTAAAAAAAAGAGAAGACATAAAGTGAACCAAACTATAGTTTTTATAAGTGCTTAACCTTTCTGAAAGTTCTTTATAGATTTTACAGTATATAGAAATAATATATCTAATATTATTATTTACTTTATAAGAGATTTTTGGCTTTTATTAACTACTCCTTTTATGGTTTTAGAGCTTCTTTAAACTACTATTATAAAGTGATAGCTTCTTTTTCAACTTTATTTTAATGCTTACTATATATAATCAGTGTTTTAGAGAAGGTTTATAAAGTTTAATATATTAACTATATTATTTTTCTATAGTTCAGTATTTTGGAAAGTTTGGTCCAAATGATCATCAAGACTTATAGCAATATTAATTATATATTAAAATATTTCTAAACTAGATATTTATATTTTTTTTATAAATAGACTTTATAAAACATTTGTTACAAATTAGTATAATCTCTTTAGAAATTCTATTCTTTGTGATTATAAAAAATATTAAATCTGAGTATTATATATTACCTCATTTGTAAACTGCATAACAGCACCAAATTTTATATATATAGCTATAGAATAGTTTTATATATTTTTTTTATTTTTTTATTTTTTTTAACTTAAGCAGTCATACTAGTACTTTATTAGAATTCTTAAAACTATATAAATTACATAGAATTTTTCTAATATATAAGTCTAGTATTACTTAGTTACCCAAATAGTATCTAAGTATAATCTGCTACACTATCTCAGTTAGAGATAGACTGCTCATCTGACTGCTACTCTACAATAGAACATCACCAATCTAA